TAAAATATGTCCCTCTGCTGCCAGTACATGTAGCTACGAGAGACTGCTTATCCCCAATGTAGTTGTAACATAGACGGCTTCCTTCACTCCTGGACACTGAGCTATCCAGGCTCAACATGTTCTCATCTACAATACACTCTTTTTGGTGTTCGATTGTGGGGAATCCAAACCACTTAAGTAAGAATCAGCTGGACTTCTCTTTGTGGCTCTAGGAGGTGTTTCACCTCCAATCAAAGAGGGTTCTTCTGCTTCAACTGACCGATGGGGCGTCTCAGATGTAAACCCCCAACTCACATGGCTAATGGCTCATTAATGAAACAGAGTCACATGGAGGTGTTTATGGCTGTAAAACCGACGGGTTTCCTAAGAACAGCAACAGTAATAATAGTTGTGAAACCTCCAGGTCAGCGATGACTCAACTGAAGGTGGTGTCTGAACACTGCATCATGAGTGGTGCTGTTGACCTTGATCCTGTGTTTACATGATGGATGTTCTTAAAGCATCTGTTGTCCAGAATGTGACTGTCTTGTCTTGAGTTTAAAACTAGTCTCGCCTGAACAGGGACTTGAACCCTGGACCCTCAGATTAAAAGTCTGATGCTCTACCGACTGAGCTATCCGGGCTCTGGAAATCTAAAAAGTCCTTCTCAAAATCCCAAATTACATTCTTACATTTGTGGTTTCACTATAGTGCAGCAGAAACACTCTGAACTTTGAGCGTCAGACCTTTAATCTGAAGGTTCAGCTGATCAGAGTGACTTCAATCAGCTCTACTCTCATGTCATTTCTCTACTTTCAGCCTCCTGGTCTCCTCAGTCCTCTGTCCTTTGACCCAGAAATCGATCCCAACACGTCACCTTGAAGAACATCTCAGTTCCTAAAGTGCAGCTGGAGGAGCTCTGAGGAGGAACAGATGCAGCATTCGCAGGTGTGTTTGGCTCTAGTGATGTATAAAGACTGATGAAAGCAGCTCTGACATGAAGCACCACATTTGGAGTCACTTTCTTTGGCTAAGACACAATTTTGCTCAGAGTTTATGCAGTTGGCTGGAGTAAGTGTTGATTGAAGCATCTTAAAACTAGTCTCACCTGAACAGGGACTTGAACCCTGGACCCTCAGATTAAAAGTCTGATGCTCTACCGACTGAGCTATCCAGGCTCTGATGGAAGANTAACTTCAGGACTATCTCTGGGGTTTTCAGTTTTAAAATATGTCCCTCTGCTGCCAGTACATGTAGCTACGAGAGACTGCTTATCCCCAATGTAGCTGTAACATAGACGACTTCCTTCACTCCTAGACACTGAGCTATCCAGGCTCAACATGTTCTCATCTACAATACACTCTTTTTGGTGTTCGATTATGGGGAATCCAAAGCACTGAAGTAAGAATCAGCTGGACTTCTCTTTGTGGCTCTAGAAGGTGTTTCACCTCCAATCAAAAAGGGGTTCTTCTGCTCTAACTGACCGATGTGGCGTCTCAGATGTAAACCCCCAACTCACATGGCTAATGGCTCATTAATGAAACAGAGTCACATGGAGGTGTTTATGGCTGTGAAACCGACGGGTTTCCCAAGAACAGTAACAGTAGTAATAGTTGTAAAACCTCCAGGTGAGCGATGACTCAACATGTTGAAGGTGGTGTCTGAACACTGCATCATGAGTGGTGCTGTTGACCCTGATCCTGTGTTTACATGATGGATGTTCTTAAAGCATCTGTTGTCCAGAATGTGACTGTCTTGTCTTGTGTTTAAAACTAGTCTCGCCTGAACAGGGACTTGAACCCTGGACCCTCAGATTAAAAGTCTGATGCTCTACCGACTGAGCTATCCAGGCTCTGGAAAGACACATAGTCCTTCTCAAACTCAAAAATTACATTCTTACATTTGTGGTTTCACTATAGTGCAGCAGAAACACTCTGAACTGTGAGCATCAGACCTTTAATGTGAAGGTTCAGCTGATCAGAGTGACTTCAATCAGCTCTACTCTCATGTCATTTCTCTACTTTCAGCCTCCTGCTCTCCTCCGTCCTTTGACCCAGAAATCGATCCCAACACGGCACCTTGAAGAACATCTCAGTTCCTAAAGTGCAGCTGGAGGAGCTCTGAGGAGGAACAGATGCAGCATTTGCAGGTGTGTTTGGCTCTAGTGATGTATAAAGACTGATGAAAGCAGCTGTGACATGAAGCACCACATTTGGAGTCACTTTCTTTGGCTAAGACACAGTTTAGCTCAGAGTTCATGCAGTTGGCTGGAGTGAGTGTTGATTGAAGCATCTTAAAACTAGT